CGTGTGTGTGTGGGGGGGAGGGGGGGTACAGGCAAGGAAGGGTACAGAAATGAGGTTTTTGACACACCCCTGCCTAGTTCAGTGAGACAAAAAAATGAGCCTGTGAAGACTAAAGGCTTCCTGCTATTTAAAGAGCAGATATGGCACTCTGAGCTCAAGGCTTATGTATGGCAGTTGATGATAATAACAATCTACTACCACCCCTTCCCAGCATCTTTAGAGAAAACAGCAAAAACAAGTCACTTGATAAGAAGCCTGGCTTAGGTCAGCCAGATAACCGAAAATCAAGTGCAGGAAGATGTGCTGCAGGAGGAGCTAAGGGACTGACAACAAGCCTGTACTCAAGCTAGAGGATCTAAAGCAAACTTGACTCAAAAGAGACTGCACTTTGGAGACCCTCGGGACTCACTCTTCACCAGGAACAATGTGAAGGTCTTAAGAGGTTAAGTAACGGGGTGGCCGGGTGGCTCAGTTAGTTAGAGAGCGTGCGCTGAACAAGGTTGCCGGTTCAATTCCCACATGGGCCAGTGAGCTGCGCTCTCCGCAACTAGACTGAGGACAACTTGAGCTGAGCTGCCAACGGGCGGCTGGATGGCCCAGTTGGTCAGAGTGCGTGCTCTTACCAACAAGGTTGCTGGTTCGACTCCCACATGGAATGGTGGGCTGCGTGCCCCCCACAACTAACGGAGACCGGACTTGGGGCTGAGCTGCGCCCTCCACAACTATGATTAAAGGACAACAACTTGACTTGGAGCTGATGGGTCCTGGAAAAAACACATTGTTCCCCTATAAAGTTTAAAACAAACAAACAAACCATACCTGCTTTTGCATAGCCAATGATCCCACCAGAAGCAACCAGTGCAGCATAGCCAAAGCCAATCCAATGTAAAGGCACTCTGAAAACAAGGGTAACAAATCAGTGCCAACCAACCATGTTTAAAAGAAAAATAAACAAAAAAACCCAATCATAGGATGGGACTAAAAGGTCATCATTTCCGAACAATCCTATCACTGTACAAATGAAAATAAAGCCCAGAGATTAAATGACTTGCCTAAAGCCACACAACTAGTCAGTGGCAGAGTGTCACTCAGACCCTGGCCTGCATGTCTCTCCTCTTTTACCCTATATTGCCCCAGCAGTCTCCTCTTAGGGCACCTTTCAGGCCGCCTCTGGTTTTGAGGCGGTCCTGGCTATCCCACTCCCACTCACTGTGGACTTACAGTGGGCCAGAGTCCTTCTGCATTGTTCTTTCACTCTGTCCAGACAGGAGATTACGCGGGGCCTGCACCTGCAGAGGAGGGGCTGGATCAGAGGTGGTTAACAGCAAAGCTCTCTAGCAGCCAGAAGGAAGTGGGTCCAGGTTCCAGCTCCACCCCTTAGTAGCTAAGAAGAAACAGCCAAGCTACCCAACCTCTCCAAGCCTCAGTTTCCTTCACCGTACCATGAGGACAACAATGGTACAAATTTCCATGGGGATGTTGTGGGCATTACGTGGGGTAATATGTAAATGTGCTTAGTACATAGTAAATGCTGAACAGATACCATTTTTATAATAACCTAAATTCTATTAACACAGGCCCACAGGAAACAGCAAAATTCACTGACCAGCTCTGTATAGCTAATGAGGTAACCTTTGCAACAGCTAAGTATTACTAAATCAGAAAGCAAGTATCACCTGTGCCCTTAATTCAACTACATTTCAAGTGTCCCTTTTGGAGCGCAAGGAATAAAATTATTTCAATACTTAACGTTTGTAAAGCTTTCAGTTATTTTGCATCTAACTCATAATTCTTGTTAGACTGAAGGCGGGGTGGGGGTAAGGGGGCAGGAAAATCCGATTCCTAATTACGACACTACACCCTTGGCAAAGCAACTCCTAATTTCTTAAAGAAGTGCATGTGATATCCAGTGACGCTAAGATTTAAAGCAACACATACCCCTTTTGTTTTGTTCAAACTATTGTCTATAAAAAGAGGGGGCTTGGAATCCCACCCAGAGTCATTAATTCTAAGTGGCACTGAGATACCGAGATTTTTAGGGAGATGAAGCAATAACATCTCCAGGAAATTAAACAGCACTACACTATATAGGCAAGCACTTGCCTCAAGGTTCCCGCAAGATTCCCAGCCTATTTTGAGGAAGCAGAAAATGGGCGACTAGAAAAGCAACCACGACGCAGCCCAAAGCCCCTGCCTGGATCCAGGGGACAGAGAGCAGGCAGCAGCAAAACCTCTTATATAATTCCAAAAAGTCAAAACGGATACAATAATTTCCAAGTACCAGGACCGCTTTCCCGAAGATCTCCGCCGGTCGACGAGGGCGCGAAAGCCTCAGAGAGGAGTCCCAGCGCCGGAAATGTCGCAACGCGCCCTCTACGCCCGGGGGGCGGGGCGGGGCGCGGAGGCGGGGCTTGAGGCTGAGTCGCCGCGTTCCTTCCCGCCTGGGGGCGGAGCTTGTGGCAGAGTCGTAGTGCGAGCTGAATCCCGGGACTGGGCGAGGGCGGACGGGGCCGATCAGCGCCACTTCCAGCTGCAAGCCCTCCTGGCCAAATGCCTAAAACCCTGAGTTCGAGTCCGGTCTTGCTAGAGGCCAAATGAGTTGGACCAGGCTGGTAGTGGAGGCCACGGAAGCGGGAGGAGGACGTCAGAGGCTGTTCTGAAGGACTCCATTAATGGAGGGACACATTACTAGGTGTAAACTAGATGCAGCCCATCCGGGAGAGTTGTCCTACCCTATCACGCTGTTTACCTACAACATGAAGGGACTACTTTCTACCTTCAGAGACTATGATGACCACACGCCAGATGATTGGCTCACTTCAGTGTTTGTTTTGGGAATTGAGGCTACTTGAGAAGCTTCTTAAAGGGGGAGACAGGGAAAGTTAAACATAATTTCCAACTTCCTCTGCGATGTCCCAATGACCACTGGACATTATCTCAACTCCCACTCCAGATCTGCTTCTCTTCCCTGCCTTTCCTGCACCATTCACTCAGTTGCTGTACGCCAAAATTTGGCCATCATCCTTGACGTCTTTTCTTCATCCCCTACAAGTATCAACATGGATGTCTTATAAATTCTATCTTGAGAAAAAAAGGAAATTGCAGCACATACACACTCTAAAATAAAAACTTTCCACTTACAACAGCTCCTGCTCCTAGATGTTTATCATACCTGATTTCAAACAGCCAAAGCTGACAATGACTAAGAACTTTCAGCAATTCCTACTGGAAATGCCAGACCCTCATACAGATAGCCAACATATATGAAATATGCTCAAATGGGCAGAAGACCTGTGTATCTCCAATGATGATATACTTATAGCCAATAAGCACATAAAAAGATCCTTAACACCATTAGTCATTAGGAAAATGCAAATGAAAAGCACAGTGATCTACTTCACACCTACTAGGATGACTATAAGAAGAAAAGTAAGTGGTGGTGAGGATGAGAATTGAAATCCTTGTGCCTTGCTGAGGGGAATGTAAAATGGTGTAGCTACTGTGGAAAAGTTTGGCAGTTCCTCAAAAAGTTAACGATACAATTACCATGTGACCCAGCAATTCTGCACCTAGGTATACACCAAAAGAACTGAAAACAGGGACTCAAACAGGGAGTTGTATGTCAGTGTTCATTGCAGCATTATTCACAAGAGCCAAAAGGTGAAAACAATCCATGTGTCCATCAACAGATGAATAAACAAAATATGCTATATACATACAACAGGATACTATTTAACTATAAAAAAGGATGAAATTCTGACACATGCTACATGGATGAACCTTGAAGACATTATGCTAAGTCAGACACAAACGGACATGATTTCAGTTTCATTTATATGAGATGTTCAGAATAGGCAAATCCACAGAAATAGAAAGAAGTTACCAGGGATTGGGGGGACAGAGGAATAGAGGATTGTTGCTTAATGGGTACAGAGTTTCTGTCTGGGTGATGAGTAAGTTTTGGAAATATTGATGATGGGTACACAACACTGATAATGCCACTGAATTGTACACTTTAAATGGTAAATTTTATGTTATATACACTTAACCACAATTTTTTTAAAACAATTGTCAAGTTCATAAAAAACAATGAAAGAGAAAATGTCACAGATAAGGTGACTAAGGCAACATGACAACTAAATGCAATGTGGTATCCTGATTGGATCCTGGAACAGAAAACGGTCATTAATGTAATAACTGGTGAAATCTAAATTGACTGTAGACAACAGTATTGTAGCAATGTTAATTTCTTAGTTTTGACAAATGTACCATAGTTATGTAAGGTGTTAACATTAGAGGAGGCTGGGTGAAGGGTCTATCAGACTGTGATCCTTGTAATTTGTCTGTAAACCTAAAATTATTCCAAAAAATAAAAAAAGGGGAGCTAGACTGGGTGAACTTGAAAGCCCTGCCAAATTTGGCAGCCCATGATTCTGATCCATAAAGGCACCTTTATTCTTTAAAGCTCTGCAGAAGTGCTGAGGTCTCTCACAAACCAAAAGCCGCAAGTCAAAGCATGTGAGGAAAGGCCAGGAAATAAGTAGTAAAAGAATCATTTCTCTCCTCTTAATGTCTCCTCCCTCCCCTACTTAGTCTCTCCCCAACTTTCCTTGCTGGATTCAATGCCAGTGAAACAGGAAATGGAAAGACTTGTTCTTCAGGCTTTAACATCCTTCACTGAGCCTTGAACTCTTTCGTGTTTTTAGGCCAATCTCAAATACTTTTATTACCAGCACCTCATTTCGAATTAGACCACCCCTTTGCCACCATGGGTGTGATGATGGCTGAGAGCACCAAGATTTTGGAAACCTGAAACCAAAGGATCTCCTAAAAAAACTGGAATCAGATGGAAGGTGCAACTCACTTCTCTGCCAAGGAAAGAGGTCGAGGCTCCAAACTGCAATGCAACTACATATAAGTTACCATCCTGAAATGCTACAAAAATTTTGGCACCACAGGGATTTCAATTTACATTATGTTAAATTGCCTAAAAACCTACAAGTTGGTATGTAACTCCTCTCGAAGTCAGGGTCACCTTTTGAAACAATACCAAATTCTATTATAGATTTTATCTCCTTTTTATTTCTCCCTTTGGTATCTCAGACATCAAGGTGACATCTATTTGTAGGGAGCCAGAGGTCTGCAGTAAGGGTTAAGCCTGAGAGGCTGTCAGGCTGACAGGCTCTCAGGCCCGGGTGAGCAGTGTGGGAAGGTTGGCTGCTGAGGAGAAAACAGCCAACGAACTTGAAAGCTAATGGAGCAGATGGCCACCCTGTTAACAGTTTCTGCTTGCTATACTTTGTTTTGTCTCGCTTCGGAAAGATTGTTTCCAAGGAATTTGCTCCCTGAGAGAAGGGGCTACTCCCTCAAGGTCCCCAAAACCCCTACCCTAGGAAAGTTACTTTTGCTATAAAAGCTGTATACAAATAATAAACGAGGCCACTCTCTGCTATCAGCATTGGGTGGACCTCCTGTCCCCAGTTTTAGTCTCTAGTCTCTTTCTTTTCCAGTCTCCCATCCAATCCTCTCAGGTTCCCTTTCGGTGGGCTCCTGGCTGACGAGTCAGGAACGCTCGGTTGGTGCGCGGGTCGCATCATCTATCAACATCTGTTGTCCAAATGACAAAATATGTTACTACTACTAAGATGATAACGGTAGTGATAGCTGGCCTTAGCTGAGTACTGATAACATGCTAAACACTGTTTTAAAGGCTTTAAGTATATTGACATGTTTGATCTTCATAACAAACCTATGAGGCAGGGAAAGATTGTCATCGTCATACAAATGGGGAAACTGAGGCACACAGAAATAAGTGGAACAGCCAACATTTGAACACAGGTTACCTAGCTCAGGGCCCCTGCCCTTAATCATTAGGTGACTCTCCCTGTAACCCATGTCTCGTATCAGAGATTACACATGAGAATAGGAATTACAAAGCCAGCAACTGCTCACTTCTCAAAGGGTTTCCTAAAAAAAAAAAAAAAAAATAACCCCCAACTGTAATATCCCCAAATCTCTAACCTATTTTGAAACTGTCAAATTTTTAAAAGATCAGCCGCTGGCAAAATACTTAAGTGACATTTCAGAGTTTAAGTTGACTTTATAAATATAAATCAAGAAGCAAATAAACATAGGCTATTTAACTAGAATATTAAAGTCCCTACACTCTATACGAATAGATATTTTAATAATTAGGGTTCACAGATCACCATCAACCTAAAGGGAGATGCTGCTGCACTGACATCTACTGGTTTCATTAACAAACTGTCAAACTGAATGACTCAAATTTATTGATTTATTGCAAAGTACTTGTACAAATGGGAACCAGCTAATATGCTGGGATTGCTGGCAACCAACAGGACAAAATTTCAAGTTCTGAGGTCAGAAAGGATATAGAGTTCAGGGTTAAGTAGGTAGTTTGGTGATAGTCAGGACTAAAACACAAGTCTCCCAACTCCCTTTCCTAGGTTTATTAAAAGCACTTAGTAGAGTTTAACAGTCACCCTTCTAGTTATGTCCTCCTAATCAAATATGTTCACTTTGGATGAGATGAGCTAAATAAGGTAACTAGAATTACTCATAAGCAACCATGTCCAATGATGTTATGCAAAAGCAAAGGTAACGAATGGTAAGGTATTTTAAAAAGACTGCAGGATACCACACTTTTTGAGAACACAAATATAAAATATACAACCTAAGTTTTTAAGGTCTTACTTACCCTTAAGCTTAAAGAAAACGAGTTGAAGAGGCTAAAATGTCATTTCACCCTTTCAGTTAAATGCTCCCACCAATTAATTTTTAACAGCTGATAGGAATGTTGTCATATGCATTTCCCAGACACTGGAATTAAATATATGGAAACTTCATCAAGTAAATTCTTGATGATAAGCTGATCCCACATCATTCTTCTAGAGAGAACTACATGAGGAGAATTATTTGTATCCTTTTTCAATCTGAGAACTCTAGAGAGGGAATGCCCATCTCTGGGAAGATGGAGTAGACATAATTTCCCCTGTTCTTCCTGAAGACACAGAAACCATGGCTACCATGTATTGATCACATGTAAGATTCTACAAGTGGAGAGAAGGCAAACCAGCTAGGGACTCAGGACCAGAGGAACAATGTGGTAGTGAATTCCCTAAACTGTTTCCCCCATACACTCCAGATGAGGAGCTGAAGAAACTGGCAGCCCAGAAATGCCAATGGTGCAGACAAAAAAGCCTCAACAAAATCCAGCTTTTTCTAAAGGACCAGGAAAGCAGCAGCCTTGCAAGACAGAAAATGTTTAGACAATAATAACCACTCTACTGCAGCCAAACACCACAGAAAAAAAACTGGTCCCATTCTGATCCATGCCAGCTAAGTCCAAGTGGGAGCCTCGGCTGCCGCAAGAGGCTGTAATGAAGTGCCCACACCCCTGCTGGGTGGTGTCAGAAAAGATCTTTCATCCCACCTGCTGATACAAGTCTCTCTCTAGTGTCAGTGGAGACCACACAGGGATCCCAAGCTCCCACTTCTGCCCAGAAGCAGCTTTCCCAAACCTGTACAGGAGTATTTATAGTGACTTTATTCATATCTAAAAAACGAAACAACCAGATGTCCTTCAACAGATGGCTAAACTGTGGTACATCCATACCGTACTACTCAGTAATAAAAACCGAGTATGTAATACTGTGGATCGATCTTCTAAAATTATGCCGAGTGAAAAAAGGCTACCCTCCCAAAAAACGTACAGTCCCACTTATTATAATTTTGTCAAAATCACAGAGACAAATAACTGATGAGTGGTTGCCACTCATTAAGGAGAGGGTGGAGTGTAAACGCACAGGATGGAAGCAGCTATCGGACAGCATGAGGGATCCTTGTAATAGAAATGTTCTGTATTTTGGTTGTAAAACTTTCTACATCCCAGATACATTTTACTATAGTTTCCAAGATGTTACCACTGGGGGAAACGGTAAACGGTACATGGGATTTCTATGTATTATTTCTTACAACTGCATATGAATCTACAATTATCTCAAAGAGGTGAATTAAAACAAAAACCAAAACCTATACTCCTTTTCAAGGAGTCCCCTGCTAGTGCAAAAAGGCAAGGCAAGGAAATAAAAGGTATACAGGTTGGGAAGGAAGAAATAACATTCTTTGTTCACAGATAACATGATTGTCTATGTAGAAAATCTGAAAGAATCGACAAAAAAACTAGAAGTGATTACAGCAGGGTTGCAGGATACAAGATTAATATGCAAAACTCAATTGCTTTCCTACAGACCAACAATGAACAAGATAATTTGAAATCATAAACACCATTTACATTAGCACCCCGCAAAATGAAATACTTGAGGTTTAAACCTAACAAAATGTCAAGATCTATATGAGGACAACTATAAAACTCTGATGAATGAAATCAAAGAACTAAATAGGGCCGGCCGAGTGGCGCAGTGGTTAAGAACTGGCTTGGGACACCAGAGGGCCCCAGTTCGGATCCCACATATGAGGGCCAGTGACACTGCCCTCTACAGCTAAGATGCCAAACAACAGCTCAACCTGGAGCTGGGCTGCCATGGGTCGCCAGCAACGGCGGTGTAGGCTGCAGCCCCTGTGGCAGTGGGTTTCCATGGGCTACCATGTGTAGCCGGCAGCCAGCGTGAGCGGCTAGCAGCTGCCGTGAGCGGCCGTCCAGAGGCTGGCGACTGATCTGCCTTGCCTGGGAAGAGCACAATGATGGTGCCAGCTTGGGCCAGTGAAGCAACGTCCTCCACAACTAGACTGAAGAACAAAACATAGCAACTTGTCTGTTCCCCTTCCCCCCGATTCCCCAGCACTGTTCCCCTCCCCCAATTCCCCAATAAAATCTTTAAAAAAAAGAACTAAATAAATGGAGCGATATTCCACATTCATGGAGAGGAAGACTCAATATTGTCAAGATGTCAGTTCTTCCCAAGTTGATTTATAGTTTCAATGTAATCCCCATCAAAATCCCATCAAGTTATTTTATGAATATCAACAATCTGATTTTAAAGTTTATATGGAGAGGCGAAAGACCCAGAATAGCTAACACAATATTGAAGAACAAAGTCGGAGAACTGACACAACCTAACTTTGAGACTTACTATAAACTACAGTAATCAAGACAGTGTGGTATTGGCAAAAGAATAGACAAATAGATCAATGGAGCACAACAGAGCACCCAGAAATAGTATACCATCCAGTCAATCGATCTTTGACAAAGGCACAAAAGCAACACAATGAAGCAAAGATAGTCTCTTTGAAATATGGTGCAAAAAACATGCAAAAAAAAAAAAGTTATCTATACACAGAACTTACACCTGCCACAAAAATTAACTCAAAATGGATTGGAGATCTCAATGTAAAATGAGATCTCCAATCTTTTACAGTTTTGCAGTAAAATGCAAAACTATAAAACTCCTAGGAGGTAACATAGGAGAAAACCTAGATGACTTTGGATATAGTGACACCTTTTTTAGATACACCAAATATACAATGTGATCCATGAAAGAAATAACTGATAATTGGGACTTTATTAAAAACTTCTGTTCTGCAAGATAGTATTAAGAGAATGAGAAGACAAGCCACAGATGGGGAGAAAATATTTGCAAGGCATATCTGATAAAGGATTCTTATCCTAAATATACAAAGAACTTTTAAAACTCAGTAAGAAAACAATCAGATTAAAAAATGGGCCAAAGACCTTTACAGACACCTCCCCTAAGATATACAGATGGCAAGTGAGCACATGAAAAGATGCTCCACATCATGTGTCATTGAGGAAATGCAAACTAAAGCAATGCAATACCTATATACCTATTAGATTGTCCAAAATCTGTAACACTGACAACACCTAACAATGAGGATGTGGAGCAACAGCCATTCTCACACGACTGGTGGGAATGAAAAATGGTACAGCCTCTTTGGAAGAGTTTGGCAGTTTCTTACAAAAACTAAACATATGTTTACCATATAGTGCAGCAATCACGTTCCTTAGTATTTACCCAAAGAAGCTGAAAATGTGTCCACCCAAAAACCTGCACATGAAGAGAGAAACTTTATTCATAATTGCCAAAACTTGGAAGGAACCAAGATGCCCTCCAGTAGAGGAATGTTAAACTGTGATACATAGAAGACAATGGAATATTATTCAGCACTAAAAAAAGGAGCTATCAAGCAATGAAAAGATATGGTGGAAGCTTAAATGCATATTACTAAATGAAAGCCAATCTGAAAAGGCTACAATACTGTGTGATTCTAACTATGTGACCTTATGGAAAAGGTAAAACTATGGCGATAATATATAAAAAGACCAGTGACTGTAGGGGATAAGGGAGAGATCAATAGGCAGAACACAAGAGTTGTTTTAGAGCAGTGAAAATACTCTATTACTTTAATGGGTATGTCATTATACATTTGCCCAAACCCATAGAATGTACACAACCGAGAGTGATCCTCAAGGAAAACTACAGGCTTTGGATGATTATGTCAACCGTAGGTACATCCTTTGTAAAAAAAAAAAAAAAAGTACCATTCCTGTGATGCCGATAATGGGGGAGGCTATGCATGTGGGGAGGCAGGGGGTATTAGGAAATCTCTGTATCTTCGTCTCAATTTTGTTACAAATGTAAAACTGCTCTTAAAAAAATAAAAGTCTCAAAACAAAACACCAAACCTATATTCCTCTTTTGTTTATAGGCCTGAAATAAGTTAAAAAAGAGGTAGACAAAAATGTCAGACACATAATTTGGTTCATTCCCTAGATGATTTCCTCCTATGAAGTCAGTGGTAACTCCAGTGTCCAAGTGTCAGGTATCTTATCTTGCCTAATCAGGAGGGATTCCTCTGGTAGCCTCATGTATTTGACATCTGTCCCGCTAATTCAAACCTAAAATCTCCTATTACTGTGTCTTTTCAAAACATTCAGTAATCTATTGAGAAAAGAAGGTAAGAAAAATATGACAATATTATAGTCAACAGGCTGAAATTAAGACTACATTTGTCATATTAGCTAGTTTTCTTATGGCCTGAAATAGATGAGAAAAAAAAAAATGGAAACGTCATTTTCCTGACCTTAAATTATGTCACTCACTGCCTGGAAACAAAATAGTTTAACGAGGTTTGGCAATCTCTCTAATAATCTTATGTACACAGCCCTAAACTTAAACATATGTTTTATATGTATATTTTATATGTCCATAATTTTAAGTTTGTCCCAACGTCCTGATATGAAAATTTTTTTATACTTTTTAACAAAATGAACAAAATCTGCATTAAAATTACTAGAACCATTTGAAGCAGCTAAAGTAAGGCAGTTTTTTTATTCTTCCCCTAGTCAGGAGAAAAATTTGAAAGACAATTCTTTTATCTACCTCTGATAAAAAATGTGTTCAAGGTTTTGAATTTTTTAAAAACTATATATTACTTTGAGAAAGTTCTTTATTTGCTTTACACAACAGTAAAAATTATATATTACACATCAACATACTATATATCACCATGATATATAAAAAATGTTGCCTACCAAAAATAGTTTTACCACTGTTAAAAAAAAAAAAAAACTTTAAAATGATATAGTGATTTTAAAGCTGTACATTTTCTCCAAAAAAAGAAATTCCTACCTTTTACTTGGGGAAAAAAATTTAGATGCATTTGAAAAGAATGATTCCATCTAAAAAGTTTTTCTCTTAGGAGAAATCTGGGATTCACAGCATCACTCCTATTTTCTTCTTTTTTCTCTTTTTTTCCAACATTTCTAGCATTTTTCTTTTCTTGGTTGACACCTGGCTACTTCCTTTTGTTGTCTTATTACTGACACCAGTTACACCACATTTCTTCGTGTTAGGTTTTGACTGCCTTTCCTCTTCCAGCACTGTATTGCCAGATTCCTGTATGTTGCTTTTGGACTGCTCTTCTTTGCTTACTAAAACACAAGAGACAGTGAATTTAAAGATTATTTTTCCCTTTGAAATAAACACAGGCTGACAATAAAGTGAAGTTATCTGGGCCTCCTTCACTTTAACAATTCAAGAGGTAACAGATCATTCCATTTTTTTAAATGATCAAATTCATTTACCAGGAGAAGGCTCTGCAACTGGAGGACAGCTTTCTTTCGCATCTATCATTCTTTCTAGCCACACTCCAAGACATGTCAGCCTGGCATCAGTGTTTACTTCACAGAGTAAAGATGGGGGAACTTTCTAAAACCAGAAAGAAAAATTCATAACATGGGAATTTAAAAATAATTATTCCATAATCAAGTCCTTAATTTAAAACATTGTATTTTCCTGAGAATAAAATAACGCTGTTTAGAAGACACCTATTATTTTGATTCATAATTGGTTTGACTACGTCCTTCACACAGCCAATTTCTGAGAACTCAGAAATTTTAAGTTCACTAAGGAAAGGGACCATCCACGTCTTGTTCATTTCTTGTTCTTTCAACGAAGAACCTTACACAAAATAGGCACTTAACAAACCATATTCACAGAATGTGATTACGAAAGAACTAAGCATGATAAACCAAGACAGTGGACGAGAGGGAGACCATCAAAGGGCATTTAGTTTTCCAATTATCTCATTCATAACTATTGTTAGTCCCGTAACTGATCAGGAATTCCCAAAAATTTTAAGTAATGGCAGTATTTTTATCTAACAAAATTTTACAGAGAACCTCAATAAACGAAAGAGAAGTAGCACTTCTTTGACTGAAACAGCAGTTCTGGGATCCTGCCAGCTCAGACTCACCAATGCCAATCCCTGAGCAGCTCTGTGGAACCCTAACTTTAAAACCATGAATCTCAATCAGGCCTGGGAGAGATTTAAAAACCTTACTTAAAGATCTCTGACTTGTGACCCTTAAAAAAAATTCCACCTCACTTAACTCAAAGTAATACTGGTAGCAAGACTTGCATTAGAATGTATTTATATTGTGCTCAGCCACTGACCTTATCCTGTTTAAGCTTCCACATTTTGATGAAACCATCACTCGATGCTGTGGCAAGAACATGATGCTCTGGAATTTCAAAACTGAACATGTCTTTTACCCTAGAACAGAAATATTAGCAACATCATAAAAGATCCTTTCTTCAAACAGTACGATATTTCTATGCACACAGTCTCTAGATTTTTCAAGGTTTCAAGTGCTTCCAAATGGCTCCATGAATGCTGCTAAAACATAACTATGCTTCACATCCCACGAGTCAGTGAGTCATTTTTCAGGGTCTAAATTCGATGATAAAATTGACTGTTAACCATATCTTAAGAAAAAGTTGAAAAGATGACTAACTGTAAATAATCAAGTTACCGCAAAGGAAAAAAAGATATTTAAAACAAAGCCCCTCACCTCAGGAAACAAGTTTATTAGAGAGAGAGAAGAGATGAATCAAGGCTTCCTCCTGTACATCCAATCCTCTCACTTCCAAGGCCACCACCCCTAGTCTGAGCTACGATCACTTTTCTTCTGAATTATGAAGTAGCCTAACTGGCCTCTGCTTTCATTTTTGCCCCAAAATTTTAAAAAATGTAAATCAAATCGTGTTACTCTCGGGCTTCAAGTCCTACAAAGCTAGGATCTGCATCAATGTACCACTGGACAGGAGGAAGCGGCTAGGGATGTTTATGAAGACCGCCCATAAATTCACAACTGCTGAAGCTGGGTGGTGGGTCTACAGGGGCTGCTTCCTTAAGCTGCTCTATCTGCCTTTAAATTTTTCCAGAATAAGAAACACAATAAAATCTACAAAGGCATTTAATATAAAATCTCAACTCCTCACAACGGCCTACAAGGCCATGCACCATTTGGCTCACTTGGATCTAGTAACGCAGGTCTTCTTCTATCTGTTCCTAAAATCCACCCAGCTCGTTCCCCCCCCTCTGGGCCAGTGTGCCTGCAGGTCTCTCCTCCTGTGAGGAAGAGTTCCTTTTTTCTCCCTCTGGTCCCGTACCCTCTTCCCTGATCACCTTAATTAACTACAGCCTGTCTACTGATTGCGTTATTTACGAAGTATTTATCTGAGTATTTACCAAGTGAGATTTCTCAAAACCTATTATCTAGAAAATAAGAACTACAATGTAGAACATGCAAATAAAAACAAACACATTAAAGGAGAACTCTATACATTATCACCTTTGTCAAAATCACAGGGAAAAAGCAGGAGCTGGGTCGGACAGAGCCGGGTTGGGATCCCAGCTTCATCACCTAACGGGGGGGTAAACCTCAGCCAAGTCACTTAACCATTTACTCTGAGACTCAGTGTCTACCCCTAGAAATAATGAACAGTGAGGCAACAGAGACTGTCACAAAACAGAAGCCAGTAATGTCATTTCTTTCTCCTGCAGGAAAAACAAACGGGGTATAAAGCAGAGGGCGGGGGGTGTGAACAAGAGGAATAAAGCAAAAAGGGAAGACTGGTTAGGGCAAAGTTCAAGATTAATTTTTTTCCCCCCCTGTTCAAATATGGTTGATTCCAGGCCCTAAGTCTAATGCAATTATTGGAAAATTATCTTGTGCAAATGACTAGTCCTGATGACAACTTCACCACTTTCGCACTACTAAGCCCAAGAAGACATTTCCACCATCCTTCTAGACTCCAGATATCATATATATGCAGACATGTCTGTGTCTGCAGTTGTTCATAAAAAACATATGCCCTGCTTTACGAAACTATTGTATATATAACACTTATTGGGACTCTACACATACACACACATAGAGATTGGGAAAAAGACAAACACCTGTTTTCATGAGCTTTAAATTCACAGAGGGACATTAGTGAATCAGTGTCAAAAAACCTTACGACTTCTTCATCTCCAGCCACTGCAAGGACAGACTCCTAGGAGAAAGAAAAAGAACACCCAGAATGTCACCACCAGTTCTGACCATCGTGTACACACTGAACTTCCATCACTGATTTCTGATAACTTACTGAAAGAAACGTAACAGAAGACACTCTCTTTTCATTTGTGATGGTGCCACTTACAGATGCTGTGTCAAGTTGATAGACATCTATTTTATTCAATATGACAACCACGTATTTCTCTCCTCTTGGGGACCATTCCACTATGTGAGCATCTGTTAAGTTAAAAAGCAAAGCTTTTTTCAATTTCATAAATAAAAAGAAAATGATCAGGGTATTTATAAAAATAGCAAATATTTTTAAAAATAGCAAATATTTATACCGCGTATTTTCATATTCATTATCTTAGTGAATACTCACAACAAACTTATGATACATTTTGAGTGTTAAATTTTAGACAATAAACTAGGTTCAAAGAAGTCTTAAAGGTCATAGAGCTGGTAGGTGGCAGAGCCACAGGAATCCCCATCTAAAATGGGAAAAGCAAATATCCTAAACCATTTGTTCTCAGAGGTCACCAACCATCATGCAGGTAAATAAATGTGTATAGGCACACACACAATTGTGTGTGTGTGTGTGTATCCATATTCCACCAAGGTATTATAAAATACATTCCAAACAAATATACCCACTTTGTTTTATATTTTTTATGAATGCCGATCTTCCTTCCACAAGATTCCATGTTCTGCAAAACAAGAAGCCCACTATTGGCATGATCATTAACTTCTACTATGTGTAAAGATAAGCATAATGAAAACTCACTCAAATGACAATTTACTAAATACATGGCTATTTAGAAGAACTGCCATTTTCTTATAGCAACATCTGAAATATTTATCATCAAGCAAGGTTAACTTGTTAAAGGAGTATTCCCACATCACTTTAATATATTTTCCAAAGGTTTCACAACCTAATTTATTTTTTCGGACCATGCTCCTCTTTACGTCAAAGCTTACAATGACTGAAACGTAATGTGCCTATGAAATGAAATGTAATTTGAATACAGAGCTTGTCATTTTTTCCTACCATTATGAAAAGGTCCACTAGCTTTCAACCTTTCCTTGTATCACACTATTTTTAAATGACAGGTGTGAGTACAATACAGAAACAGCACCTAATCACTGTAGTAAAAGATACCCTGGCAGTGGGTTCCTATTGTACTTGGAGAACAGAGACCACCACTTAGTCAAGTTGCTCTCCGGCACTAATGACTTACCTTAACGTCTTATCTGTTCCCACAGACAGGGCCAGCTTGCCAGATGGGTGAACAGAAAGGAAGGTCACATGGCCTCTGAAAGGAAACCAACAGTTAGTCCCCAACTGGACTGGCACTTGGAGACCACCCACGGAAAGGGCAGGACTCACCGGTGTGCTTTAATCGACTTCAGGCACTCCCATTTCTTTGCATCCCAGACACAAATGAGACCATCCTCCGCCCCACTGATTAAGTGCCTGTTGCCGTGGAACTTCAGGCAAGTTATTGTGCCTGTGGAGAAACAAAATAGGCAAAAGTAGTATTTATTTTTAATGCAAATTCCATTTCTGGCTTGAAGGCTATGCTGTGGTAGGTAAAACATCCAATGTAAATACTGTATTACTGAAATAAACCTTAACATCTTAAGTGAGGAAATTAAATTTTTTAATATAACAGTTTTAAGCCTATGCAAATATTTTCAGCAAATAGTTTCTCTACTTATAGGTACAGGTTTAAGCTGAAAGTTCACTTTCTTGCTGTAAATCTCCATAATCATAAATTTAGGAGAAAGCTGGTAGGATTGTCTGAGCAGAAGTCAATCAAAACTAACCAGCTAACGGCTAACCTGGGGAAGAAGCCGAGACGTACAGCCACATGACTTCGACTTTCTAAACAGTTAGCTACTCAATCATCCATAATCCAATTATTGTTCCAGAGCTGTTTTTTATTTGACTTTTCCAGTTCTCCTTCAGTCATAAGAACTTAAAATGTTAAACTCTTCCACTGCGACCTCTACAATCTCCTTCCTATAGCTAACACATTTTCCTACATCTTTCCCATTTCTTCACAAAACACTCCATTCTGCTACACGTAAACTGAAGCCTGGGTCTCCCGTGAACTTCCCCTACAGCTCTTGAGACTGGGAAATATGTTCATTGTCCTCAAATAGTAAAAGACTGAAGGGAGATGAAGTGATGGAAGGACCCAGCATTCCTCTAGCTTTCCGAAGCAGTCCATGCCATTATTCATTTATCCTCAAGTAGAATTCCCTATCCTTTGGAGCTTGTGTCAGCCAGCTTAACTGCCTATAGCTCAGGAGTCAGCAAAACAGTCTGCAGAACAAATCTGACCAGTGGCTTGTTTTTGTAAATGTGGTTTCACTGGAACACAGCCTCCCTCATTCAGTTACAAGACGTCTATGGCTGCTTTACACTATAACGGCAGGGCTGAGTCAACCTAACAGCGACCACATGGCCACAAAGCCTAAATATTTACTATTTTGTCCTTTACAGAATGTGAACCCCGGGTCATTACTGGTCATCTGCATACCTCCTGGTCAGTTCTTTACACTGCCCTTTATATTGAAAGAGCCAAAGATCTCTGATGAGTAATTTTGCACCCCCCAAAAAATGCGATAAGACTATATGGACTTACATACTACCTTCTCAAAGTGGGAGGCTTTAGCTGTCTTTGCCCATGTTTTCCTCGTTCCCAACTATCCTATTTCTTACTCTGGAAATTTTGCTTTCCCATATCTACTCCTTCGGCCCATGACTCCATCTGCTCCCTGGAAAAGAGCTTCTCTATTACCAACTATTAGAAAACCAGGATTAATACGAGGAAGGAAGGAAGTCAGGGGCCCTACTTCATTCACTCCTATCCAAACTCCTTCTAAGTCCTTTTCTTATTGTTGAACACTTGTACCAATGGGTTTGGACAGACCAGCTTTGCTTAACTTACTTCTTCCAAGCCTTAGAAAAAGAGAAGCCTTCCTTGTATGAACTGGGAGTAGAAGACAGAGAGGAAAAGGAATGTATGTTGAAATCACTCAAAGCCTAGCTTCTGTTGAAAAACAAGACACTTGTCAAAGTAGCTAAGGACCACCTAATATAAAAAAGACACTGATCACTCCAAATTTACTGCTAGACAACCATGCTTGGTGTGGCACTTCTGAAATGCATGAAGATAGGGTAGGAAAAAGGGCACCTGTCTTATCTGCCTTTAATTTGCAGGAAACCAACTTCCTTGGCTGAGTTTCCCTAAACTAAGTATCTAATTGATTCTACAATTTTGAGTTCTACCTTTTCACTTTCCTGAATACATGGGTTCTAGACCTAGGTTCAAGTTCTAGTTCCATTGTTCTGTGACCTTGGGCAAGTCATATACCATCTTTGAACCAAGGTTTTTCTGTTCTGTGAACTGAAGGAAGATATAACTGTACCTTCTTGGCACACTGCTGGATACATGATACTCAGTAACGTTAGCTATTAAAATGCTGCCTGCTCTGCCTGGAATGCCCTTTCTCCCGCTTTGCAAACTTCACCTGGCTAACAACTGATATTTCTCTTTTAAGGAAATTCAGATGTCATTTTAAGGAGGTTTTCAGTGAAAATTCCTTTATTCTGTTCCCCCCCAGACTGAGTAAAGTGCCTCCTTTCTGTCTCCCAATACAGGCAGTAAACAACTTCAGGACAAGGAACCACATTTTTTTCATTTCTATATTTCCTAGCACAGAACCTGCTTAATGAACTGTGCAATTGGAGTCAACCTGTAAAGGATTAACACCTCAACACTGTTATATGAAAGGATATCATTTGCTTACCATTGTGGTGCACTAGAGACCCATGGTCTATTTTCTTTTTCATGTCATAAATGTGAATTGTTTCATCTTTGCTCCCAGTGACTACAAAACGACTATTTACAGCCACCGCTGACAAGGAGGCAGTGTGGGCATGGTGAGTGAAGTCAGCCACAGGAGTCCATTTCTGCTGCAGAATGAAACGTACAATCAGTCACAATCATTATCATAGTTCTCTAGAAACAGGTAAGTGGTTCCACGACCCATGAGAACGACCAAAGGATCCTACAAATGGGAGAACAAAACCACGCAATGATATTTAAATTAAAACAAAGAACTCGTAAACTGAATAAGAAGCTGAAGCAAAAAGATGGGACTGCGATGCTAAGTATGGTGACTCCAAAACAATTACAGAGACCAGACTACAGATACATCAAGGTCCCATCCAAATCCTTAACTCCTTATTATATGTACTTACACGTGAGACTCACATACTGTTCATTCATTTGAATGTTCAAATTTTGATCTGAATTTATTCACTCAAATACTAAATGATTATTATGTGCCTGGCATCCTTTTAGGTAGTTGATATATAGCAGTGAACACAAGAAACAAAAGTCCTTATTCTAATGGAGCTGCCATCCCATAGGAAAGACAGACAATAAACAAATTAATATGATGTCACATAGAGATAAGTATAATGACAAGTCCTATGAAGAAAAATAAACAGATCAAGAGTATGTTTCATTAGTATGAATATAAGCCCTAGACAATAACCAATGAGGTCTCAAGAACTCTACACTTACTGACATGTAACTTTTGGATTGGATAAGTATAACTGAGTGCAAAGAATACATGCACACACACCTCTTAAACTGAAGGAAACGCATCAAGAAGTATTAGCAAAATGAACAAACCAAGGAAGAAAAAAAAAACACACCAAAATTTGTAACACACTTAAAGATGTGTTACTGCAAATTAATTCCTAAATAACTACAGCAACAAGTAGTTCTTCCATCAATGAAAACCAAGGGGAGCCTTTTTTTTTAGTAAAGGCACAACATTCCTGAGGGGCTGCTATGGCCATACATCAAAGAATAACCTTTGAGGGCAGCCGGGTAGCTCAGTTGATTAGAGCACGTGCTCTTAAGAACAAGGTTGCTTGTTAGGGAGACCACCGCATAAACGATGTAGAGGCCTGACCACCGCATTGTATTTCTGAAACTGATGTTGAATAATAATGTATGTCAACTACAATTATATATACATATAGTCACAGGATGTGAAGTAGAGTGTGGGAATGGAGTCAATGGAATTGT